GGCAATTTACTGATAGCTGCAGACGTCTCTACTTTGTTCTAAGTCATGAGGTGATTTGATTTCCTTTATAGAAGGTGGATTTTGAAGATACAATGAAAATTTTTTGATAATGTAGTACAAAAAAAGCACCAGCATCCTATGATAAGACTGCTTTTTTGTGCACTACTGAACTAGTTAAAGCCCACGTGATCTTTGATGGTGAGCTCTTAAGAAATAGGTGGTTTTGATGGAAACTGTAGATCTTTAACTATAGCAGTGGTAATGAGCACTGCTGTAATAAAGCCACCATTATTTTTTATGAAACATCTGAATTTTAAAAAGGCTTATGAGGGCATTATTTTGAGCATCTATTTTGAGCTGATGTTTTGAAAAAGCTAACATCAAATCAAATTTTAAGTTAGTTTAAATATATTGCCTTAAGGACCTACTAAAGAATGTGCCACCAAACTTTTGAGTGATAATTAAAATATCCTTGTAGGGGTAAAAAAAATCAATGTTGACTTAAACATTTTCCTTTAATTTTTAATCCAGTCTTTCTCTCTCTCTCTCTCTCTCTTTTTTTTTTTTTAATTTCATTGAGGAGGTTGTAAATTACCTTCCTTACTCACTGAAGTATTGACTTCATGGTACATATTCTAAAGCATTTCTGATTTCAATATTTTTGTACATTTTTATCTATTATTAAACCTTCTCTTGTAGTGTGCACTAGTGTTTATTTCTATATAAACTACTCAGCTCTAAGGAAATTGTATGATCATTTTCAAGATAATAAATCCCTTAAATTTTGTTTCACCCTACCCATGGTAGCTACATTACTTTCCTTTTTTTAATATTTATGAACATCATAAATCAGTGCATTTGAGGTCCTTAAATGTGTTTTCACATATAAATTTCCTATGGAATATTTTAGAAAGGCAATGGCTTAAAGATAGAATACTCTTTACATACTAACTTTTGAGGGTTAGTAATGTGATTTATACTATTTCCTTCGGTGCAGGAGGTTTTGTTGTGGTTTTTTTGTTTGTTTGTTTTAAGTAAAATTTAGCACTTAGTCTTTGGCATCATCTTATGGATTATCTTTGTTCTTTTAATTTGGACATGCTGAGATTGTCTCTTTCAAGTTGAGATTTAGATAAAACATAAATTATTTTATTGCCCTTTAAATGAGTTGGGACGGATCAGTACAACCCTTTTTCCATCCTGTCCAGTGTTTTAATAGTGGCCACTGTTTAAAAACTCAGAAAAGGGGAGCTATTTTGTTTAAACTTCTCATTGCCATGTCATTTTCTGTTGAAAAATAAGACATGACTTGTTGAAAAGATCATTATCTTTGAGAAAATGTTATGTAATCAGATTGCTTGCTTGAATTTAGTCTCCCATTGTATGTTACTCAAAATACATGACAACTGGCAACAGAATTTCCTTGAATTTAATTTTCAGAGGTCCCAAATTTAACAGTAGTCAAGATTGCTAATCAGTCCAAGCACTTGACATGGAGGTCAGAGATAGTCTTTAAATCATGCATATGATTTTTGGAGGTAAACCAGTAATGTTTCATAAGAAAAATTAGAATCTGTAAAACATGTTTTAATTCCACGAATAATGATTTTTAAAGTACACTTTCAATTTTTGATATATTTGAATAAAAAGCTATTGATGTGTTTTAGCATGTCCTCAAAATAGATTTCTGTATTTCTTATAATTTCATCACATCTTCAGAGCCCTGTAAAACATAGATTATAATATATCCGTGCAGTGAGCCTATGCAAATCAGACACAGCAAGCAAAAAAAAAAAAAAAAAGAGTGGATTCTCTTTTTGATTGAACAGAATTTTTTTTTTTTTTTTTTCTTTTCTTTTCTTGGAGACATGGTTTCTCTGTGTAGCACGGGCGGTCTTGGAACTCTATAGGCCAGTCTGGTCTCAAACTCAGAGAACCGCCTGCCTCTGCCTCCCTTCTTGTAAATGTTACTGTGAATAGATCAATATTATAGCAGAACCCTTTTGATTTAAATAGAAGTTTTATATCAGTGTATTGAATTTTGACTTTAGGAACCTGGAAATGTAATATCCTTGCTATAAAACATGTAAATCAAGTCTCTTCCATTGTCTTCTTTATCCCTTCAAACAAACTTTAGTTATTAGAAAGGTTTAGTGTAAAGGCACAGGTGATGAGAAGGTCCTAAGTCTTTGGATATTTTAAATCCATTAGATGATGTTTCTACATCTTCATTTTGGCAAAAATTGACATATCTTTGAATACTTGTTCTTCTAGAGTTGAACCTGATTTACTCAAATGGGAAAGCATTTAATACATTTATATATTTCAATTAAGACTAGGACTCTAATGTTGAAACCTTATTTTCCTCAGCATCACTAGCATTAAACTTGGTAATATATTTAATATCAAGCAAAATATTGACTTCAGATATTTGCTCTTATCTTCTTGTATTCCATCACTTCTGGTGTTGGAAAATTTTGTTCGAGAAGTTAGTATGACCAATTCAGCATGAGTATTGTAATCTTCCCAGATGAATTTAAATAATGTGACAGGTCCATCAATTTTACTTTTTAAAATGTTACTATTTTTTTCAACATGTTAAACTTTGGCTAGTCATGATTATGTCACCTTTTGGATTTTTGCTAAGTGGACCTGATGTTCCTGGAGTACCATTTAGAGTGGCAATAGCAACTAAAAAGTCCATATGTGTTTTTCTGTGAACTATGTGCAGTTTGAGACTAGTGCACTACTTTTATTCATCTATATGTTTTACCTCAGTGCTAAAAGTGTTCATTAGAAATTTTTGCATTCAGAAGAGAAAAATGAGATTCACACATTGGAAAGGGTTTAAGTTTACAGAATTTTAACATAAAATGATGTAAACTTAAATGTACATTTTAAAGTTTTTAAGACAATCTAATAGAAATAAAAACAAATTAGACTAACTTCTTAAATGTATTTTCCTTTGGGAATCTCAGTGCCAGATAAGATTTTTAATTTAACACCTTTTTCCTCTAGGTTAAACACACTTTATTTACAAAAAGAAAAAAAAAATGATGCTGTGTTTTCATTCTATGTTTCTGTTCATGACACATGCCAGTCTAATGATTATCATCGTCATCCTTTGTGTTTAAGTCCTTCATTTATTCTGATGTCACAGGTAGTGGCTGGGATTTAATGGTTTCATTCACTACGATGTCTATGTGTTCTTTAGAACTGCCTAGCACTTAGCAAACACGTAAAATATTGACATACATTCATCTAACACTGTGGTAGTGTTCCATCACCCACACTAAAGGGCTTTAAGAGGCATCACTGCAGTTAAGTCATAAAACTTAGAACTGATGCCCCATCCATAAACTACATTTACAATAAGGTCTAATGACTATAATTTAGGGAGTGTCGAAAGGCTGAAAATGAGGAAACAGAGACTTGTAAGATTCAAAAAATTTAGGCTTATTTTAAAAAGGGATGAGAGATGTTAGCACTGTAGCACTCCAGTTATTGGGGCTCATTTTAAAGTGAGAATGAAAGATGACATACACTTTGCTTACCTGTCCTTTTTTTTTCCTGGTCTACATTCCTTAGTAAGATACTATTCCTAAACCTGCTGAACTCACAGCTGCATTTGAGATTGGGTGGATTCTAAGTTGAGGCTATCTCATGTGATTGATCTTTGACAGTGATTATCCTAGTGCAGTTAATGTTTACATTTCAGAGAAACAGGCTAGCCACAGCCCTGCTCTTCTGTCTAGGCAATGGAGCAGATCCATTCAAGCTAAGCCATTTTTTGATACTATGCTATTATTGTTACTAGATTATCTACTTGTTACTGATAAACTTTCTGTTTGTTTTTTGGCCCTGACTACTAACATTTTGGGTAGGTGTTAGTCTTCTTGCCTTCCTCTACATCTGAACAGAGGACTTGTTCAAAAAGGTGAGTAATTGGGAAAGGTTTCTCTTTTCTATGTAATCAACAGATTTTTACTTCTGTTTATATATTTTCCTGATGTATGGAACCTCGTAGCTTTAACAGTAGACCTTTTGTAAATAGAAAAATGGCATATTTTATTAAATAAGTTGGATTTGTGTCGCCGCTTTTCTTTAAGTCTCTGCCATCCTGCCCACAGCAGTTCTCTGCTCTGAGTTTAAGTGCTCACAACCCAGTTTTCAGTGTAAAACCCACTTTGCTTAAAAAGTTAAGCCTTACCCCCTCCAAAAAAAAAGGCTATCACTACAACCTCACACTTGATCGTTCAATCTTTTCATAAAAATGAATGCTAACAACTTTAAAATCTAAATTTAACTAAAATCTAAATTTAAATTTGTCAAGTTATTTTACTAGGTAATTATTGAGATAAATAACTAGTCCAAACAGAAAGAATATTATCAAATATTCTATAGACTAGTATTATAAAGATATCATCTGCCTTTGGGAAATTTGGTGTCTCCAACAAAGAAAATATGTTGAATAAGAAAGCAGTGTCAGTAATGAATATTAAGTAACATTGTATGTCCAGCAGAAATTGACTCAGAAAGTCATAGAGTGTTGCAGTAAATTGTGTTTCTGTATTAACACTGGGCAAAACATATTTAATTCTGGTTAGGGGTAAGAGCACTTGCCTACCATATGCAAGGGCCTGTATTGGAGTCCCAACAAAACAAAACAAAACACTGCTAACAAGAAGCATTAAATCTAAGCAAATCTTTCTTGGAGCTTTACTGCTATAGTTATGGTCTGAAAATATTCCAAATATAGAGTGTTTATTATGACATTTTAAGAAAGTCAAAGGCCTTTTGACCATGACAGCGTGTGGGAAACTGGGTGAAAGCCGCTTGTGTTCTTGGCTTGGGCATATAACCTTTTTCTTTCCCTTTTCTTTAAGTAATAAGAAAGCAATTTTTCTAAAATATATTATCTCTGAATTCTAAGCTCAAATAGCAACATAAACAACAAAAACAACATAAAATACAGAAAGGATTACAACATATGACAGAATAGTAGTGTAAATAGTTTATTTGCTCAAATGGCATGAAAAGACCAGAAAAGTAACATGAATTGCTTTTATAAAACATTTCTATATTGCTAAGAAGCAGGCCCATTAATAGACAAACAGAAGAATATGCCAACATTACTGTCCATTTGTACACTGGGAAATAGGCTTTTTTTTGTTTTGTTTTGTTTTGTTTTAGCAAATGCACCCCTTTGGAAAACAGCTAATTTGTATGAAAAACAAAAAAGGTCCAAATATTTGTGTGATACCATGATCAAGTTAATATATTAATATATTCATCATTAATTGACTCAACAAAAAGACAACAATCTTGGCATGTTCTTTTTTAACTACACATATGTGAATGTGCCGGCAGGTTTAAAAGGGATCTGTAAATAAGTATACTACTGTGAAATGTGGTAACTGACTTTTAAACTGTCCTTGTAGTTAAATATATATATTTTAAAAAACAAACTATAAGTTAAAGTAACATTCAGATTGTGTAGCATAGGCTGATGCATTTTTAAACAATATTTACAGTATTACCTAGAGGCTTAGGTAGGAATTAAAGAGAAGTGTAAAAACCATAAAAAACTGCACCAATCTTATAGCAAAATATCTGTACATTTTAAAAGATCATATAACTACACACCCATGAAAAAGGGACCTTCACCAAGGGGTTCACATGAACACAAAAAATTTGGTGGTTAAATACTATACAATAATTTTTACAATTAATATACTGATGTACCAACAAGGTAAGCCAGAAGCAGAATATGTGTTATGAGAAATACAAACTGAGCTTCAGTCCAGTCTTTGACTTTGGATTGGATCAAAATGCCTTGCCAGTGAGGAAGTAAAAATAGTAACTTAGTTAACCATTTAACCCTATCACATATAATTTAAACTTAATTTCAATGTTAATTTTGTACAGTTTAATTGGAATTTCTGATAAGTGAGAAATACACAAAGCAATTCAGCCTTGATAACTTAATGTCAACTGTATCAGTATTTAATTTACAAATGGAAAAAAGATCTTTTGATTGTCAGAAGAGAATAAGGCCAGGTTTCTAACATTACACTAACACTTGTAACCTTGAATGCTTACTGATAGAGTTTGTGTTAAATTCTCCCTGACAAGGCACCAATTTCTATTTTAAGGATTGACCCATAATGGTGCTCAGATATCAGAATACTGATTACTGAGATGTTAATTTTAGTGCTAATTCATGATTATATTTGTGTTATTAAAAGCTGCCTCTAACTCAAGAACACAGTTCTGCAAATAAGGCCTATTCATTGTTTTAGGCCATCTTGCAGTCATAAAGGGAATGCCTTTGTTCATGGTACCCTTGTACAGAAACAACATGTGACAAAACAGACTTAAGTGACTTCTAGTGGCACTGTAGTTGCATCCTGTTTATACTTTGCTGGAGTTTAATGATAAAAGGACTTAATTGTGTGCCAGTTTCCTTCTCCCTTGTTACAAGTCCTTAAAAATAGAGTTGATGAATATGGCTCAAACACACAATTTCTTAGAAGACTTCTCAGCAAAGGAAGCCCATAGCAGACACATCCCTGTTATTTACAAGTTACCAGGAAACCAGGTTGGGATATAAGGGACAATCACAATGGCAAATAATGAATTTAATATGAAATTTACATTTTGGTTAAAAAACTGAGCAACATACTGGTGTAAAAAGTCAAATCCTATTGCTTTGATTAATCTGAGCAAGTTACTTCCAATTTTAGGCACTTGTTAACAGGGGTTAAAAGAAGAACCCATCTTTAAATTCTTACGTGTTTACTAAATCTGAGCCCTTAAGGAGTATTTCATTTGTATTGAAGGCTGCAGCTAAATGGTAGCACATATAGTTCACATCGGCACTTTCATGTACACCCTCTTCTCTTGAAGGCTGGTCTCAAGGTCACATTGTTATTTCTGCACCATTAACAGAACGCAAGTTCTGATCATCAAAGCGCCGCCTCACACTTCGTCTCACCGCATCGGCCCGTCTATATGGTTGGTTTCTAAGATCTGTAAAGAGGAAAATGCCAATGAAATGACAACAACCTCAAGTATGTCTTAGCAAGACAAAGGCCAGTTGGCAGCCAGTCAAAGCAGCTTGTGTAGAGTCAACTAACAGGCCCTTCAAACCCATTGAGCATTCAACCAAAGATAAATATTTGCCTTCAATATTTACAGTTAAAATAAGATATAATGCTGGTAGGATGCTGAGACTTAGAGATTATTTCTATCACTGTCAATATCTTGGCTAGTTGAAATACTTAGAAATGTCTCCAATTAATGGAACAGCTTAGTCCTGGAGTATCAGAAATGATTACAATAAACTTTTACCGCAAAATTAAAAAAAACTAAACTAAGACAGGAACTACAGAACTAGGTTCTATTGCTTATACCTCTTTAGATAGCTGAGGACAGTTTTTCATGAATTATACTAAATACCTCACTCCTTCAATAGTCTGCTGCCAACTATTATGCTTGTACTCCAATCTACATGGGAAAGAGGTCAGACTCCAATTTTCCAGTCTATTGCTAATGCAAGGCAGAATATTTGACATTTAAAAAGAATGCTGCAAATGAGTAATTCAAATTAATGCAGTGTATTCTGGGTGAAAGAGGCATTGCTTTAGTGGGATGAAACAGGAATTTTTAGGTAAACACTCTTAGTGTGAGGGCATGCTTTCATAAATATGACTGATAGTAGCTAGCATGCAGCCTTTTGGTGGAGTTAAGACATGATGAAACAAGGTTTCTTAATTTTTCCCTTTAGTATTAACATTATTTAAGTTGATAGTTTTCATGGAAATCAATAATTGGTGAACATTTCTACAGGGGAAAAAATCTAACTGGACTCCAGACCTCTTAAATTTGTCCCCAGTAATACTACCCTTTAACTTCTGGCTCCTAAATAACTACAAATTGGCCCTTTTCGGTCAAACCAAAACAGTTATTTTAGCCCTCTCAAAAAGTGGTTTGGGGGTCCTTATATTAATCATTTGTAAAATTCCCAATCTCTGAGAAGCTGTGGCTCACCTTCCCTAGCCACTACCCACTGTGTCTACCTAGATAAACCTGGTGTTATGTAGTAACTTGAAGACAAACATGGATTAAGAGAAGCAGGTAGAATCAGCAGCTACTTTGCTGTCACAAAAGAATGTGAAGGCCAACTGAGAAAGGCACACATAACTCATATGAGGTACAAAGACTGTTAAGATTGTCACCAGTATTACCCTTAGCAATAAATAAAAACCACTGAACTGCATATAGGAAAGAGGAGGAAGCTAAGTAAAAAGTGATGCTTGCCAGCTCTGTGTATCCTCCACCACCGGTGTGCTAGAAGAAATCCTTACCCTCGAGTGAACATTTGGAAATTTAGTGATATTATTCTTCTTTAAGGCTAAACAGAAAACAAAAACACAAAATGATGGTTAAGTAAAAATGGGATGAAAACAGAAAGCAACTCAACTTAGTGCTTTAACATTGCTAAGCTGGTTAGCTAACAGAGGGTGTGGGCCTTACTACAGGTGGTGGTAGGTTAAACAAGGGAAGGATAAGCACCTTCCCACCCAGCGTGATCACCCAGGTTCAAGCTGCTTTGAAAATTGGCTCCAGAAAGATAGACCACAGTCCAGCAACAAACAGCCAAGCAGATGAAAGTTTTCAGCCTGTTAATGAACACCGGTGGTTAACTGCAGGACAGGCAATGACAGTGACATCTTTTGATTCAAAGACAAGCACACCTAGCAACTACAATACATAGAATAGTTGTGTCACAAAACACATACCCAGTTCCATGTCATCTCAGTAAAGGAGACAGTCAATGGCTATTGACAATTGGCAGTATGTTCTTTGTCTCTCTTCTAAGCAACTATGCGTAGACATATTTGCTCCTTTTTAAGCAAATACTAAGCCCAGGAAATTACTTGGACAAGTCTTATACCTCCCCCTCCTGTTTTCAAATTTTATGAAAAAAGGCTGATTTCCAATGGTAAGTATACTATTTATATTTCTACTGCCACTGTCCTAGCAAGCAGGTCTAGCTGTGACCTCCTCATCACCAAACAGTACTTTGGTTTGACATGGAACAGAGTTATTAGTGAAGGGATATGAGAAAGACAGTGGGGAGCTCTTTAGTCTTTGCTTGTACCTCCTGCCTTGCATCTCTGCTCTACTATGGAACTGCTGATAGCCAAAATTGGGCATGACAGTGAATAGAGGTCACCTGCCCAGGGCAGTGCTGTGGGTCCATGAATTGCTGATGTCAGCGTTTTCAAGATCCCCCCCCCATTTTAAGGGTTCCCAGCACAAAACTCACATTGAGTTCCAACACACTTTTAAGAGTAGGAGCTGAGAAAGGCCCAATTTGCAATTGTCTTTAGTCTTTGTGTAAAAGAAGCTTTAGAACCTTTCTCATTTCAATACACAGGACAGATGATTTTATTTTTTTAATACAGGCGGGGGACATATTGCTATGGTTCAGGTGTGGAAGTCAGAGGACAGTTTGCCAGAATTGGTTCTTTCCTTTCACCATATGGGTACAGGGGCTCGATCTCACGTGTCAGCTTGGTAGCAAGCACCAAAACCTGCAAAGCCATCTCGTTACCTGCCCCTTTCATTTTCTGACCACATCTTTAAAGTACATCATTTTATTACCATGTTAGCTCAGCATATGGATTTTGAAGAAAGATGTTATCAGTAAACCTGCTAAAGCACAGTAAATATGCAATAATTACTGGTCTTGTATTTAACTGCTGGTTGTCACTTTGCATTCAAATGTATTAGCCCCAAAGTCGATTTATTCTGAAAATTTCTGCAAGTGGTTCTATTAACTGTCATCCACCTCCATTAGCATTGCAGCACTGTGGATCATACATATATTACGTTACTGAAAGTGGCAGTGAGGGTACAGTAATGACCAAAACAAAAGAATGCAGCATGAAGACAACACATGTAAAATGATAACATTCCATGCTAGCATAGTCCTAAGACATGAGGGTGGCAATAAGATTTAAAAGCAAAAGAAAGAACCTTGTAGCAACCTTTTAATAGTATCAGGTGACAAAGAGCAATAGTTTAGTAATGGTATTCTTCAGTGAGAACAGGTTCGCAGAAAAACCGAGACCCACGCTTGGCGGTGCGAGCAGTAAAGGGCACAGTCTTCAGCACTGCATTGAGAATAACAGCCAGAAAATAAACGAGTAAAAAGGCGGGAACTATAGCATTAGTACATGGTTAGTGTAAGAGGAAGGGTAAAAGAAAAGGCAGTATATAATCCAGTTCATTAACATCAGAACATTAAAATCTGGAACTTTGAGGGTAGGGAGTAGAGTGAAAATTACTCCAAGGAAAAACTATTCTGGAGGTGGTCTTGGTTCTTTTTGTTTTTGAGGCAGGAGCTCAAATATACTCTAGTCAAGGATGACCTTTAATTCCTGACCTTCCTTTTTTCAGTACCCTAAGTACTAGGGTTTCAGGTGTGTGCCACTATGGCCAGCCTGTATTTTTGAGTTGAATGCTTCCCTAGTCTCAGGTTAATCTTGCTGTAGCACTTAGGTGTTTAAATTGATAGAACATCCATTTTTACTCTTGCAGAGTAGATATTCCCCCAGTGCAGAGGAGACAGAAATGTCCCACAAGGGGACTCTGCAAGCCACTGCGTAGTGCATGCTAACACCATTAAGCACATGTGTTCACCATGAGAACAGATTGCTGTTTTCACTAGTCACTCATTTAAGCTGCTTTAATAATAGGGAAGGAATTCTTTATTGATTTTAAAAATCTAAGCTATATATCCACTTAATTTCCCTGTGTTTGGGATAGTCAAAAAGTTCTGTGGTTTTAGAAGTTTGACATCCCCATTCACAATGCTCAGTAAGCTACAAGAAAATTCAATAAATTATATTTTTGGAAATCTGAATAATAACTACACACTTCGTATTAAGGAATTGTTTAATTTTGAGTGTGATTATATTTTGGCTTTGTTTATAAGCATCCATCTTCATCTTTAAAAGGTGCATACTTAAATATTTCCAAATGAGGTTATAGTTATGGGAATGCCTGAAAAAGACCCAGGGGTTAGACCTTGAGGAGGAGGATAGGAGCACTAACATATACGTGTAACAAGATTGACCGTAGTTTACTGTTGAGATGGGCGAGGAGCAACTCCACACATCATATAATTGTCTATACTTGAGCATATTTTTAAACCTTACCATTAGAGCAAAATGCTTTAAAGTATCTTAGCTGATAAGTATTCATATGCAAAAGACATTGAAGAAAAGTCACTTACTGTCACTGCTAAACAAACCAGTAGCCTAAGTTACCATCCTGATCAGTAAGAGGCAGTATAAAAACCTGTACAATTGGTTCAAGCTGAAAGCATTAAGCTAGAGAAAACTCCAGCTAGGTTAGCTGATATAGGTCCTCTGAGATAGAAGCCTATAGATTCATCCAAATGAAAGTAATAACTTGCTGTTACCATACTCCTTTTATTCCTTTGAATGAGTAAACAGATTTTTAAAGTGCATGCCAGGGAAACCTATATTGATTGTTAGTACAGAGAATGGATTCTCCTGCATTATTTATACTAGGCAATCATATAGGAGTGGCCACGAGGAGAAAAATGGTAGAGTGTGACAAATTGGTGGGAAAGTTAGGGAAGAATACCTACTGGTCCCCACAGGTACAGAAGGGTCAAGATTGTCCAGGGTGGGTGGCAAACAATACCAAAATGTACTTCTAACCCTAGTTTTCAGTCTGGCTACATAATTGTTAATCTTATTAGCTCAACTGAAGAGCTTGCCAGCTATTGCCAAACGGGACTGCAACAACTGTGTGTGGTCCCACTTCCATGGGGCAGTGTGATCACTACAGACCATGAAGACGAAATACCCTTTACCTGTGATAATGTCTTCAATGGCGCCATCTTTTCCTTCATATACATGTCTGTTATCTTTAACTTGTCGTCTTCTTAACTCCGCAATTAACTCTTGCTGCTGCCTCTTTGATTTATGGGAAGGAGACTGAGAAGAAAGGCAGAGATTGATGATGCCAGTACCCATCTGGGTTTTTAAAAAAAAAAACTCAAAAGTGTTCCTGAGCTTTATATTGAACATCCAACCCTACAGACACCACCATCCCAACATTCTGCTTAAATGCCAGCCAGGAAGCTTATAGAAGAAAACAGAAACTTTAAGCTATGAACACAAAGCCCAACTGGGAAACAATATAAAAGGTGTGTGTCTGTATGTGAACAGGTAATACCTACCTTACTTTTGAAATGAGTCTTTCACTGACCTGGAGCTCACCAAGTATGACAGGCTGGTTGGCAAGTCAGCTCTATCTGTCTTTACCTCCACAACTTTGGAACTACAAGCATCCACCACCATGCCCATGCCCAGCATTTTTATATGGATGCTGGGGACCAAACTCAGGTACTCATGCATGCAAGGCAAGTTTCTTATTGACTGAGCTCTCTCAGTCTGTTGTAGGATGGATTCTGTGGCCATAGAGATAGCTGATAATAACATTTCTCATACCTTGCAGCAAAAGCCTGCAAGCAAGCCTTCATGATCTTTACTCATAATGTTGTCCTTCATGAAATGCTTCCTTCCAACAACCCTCCTAGTATTGGTGGAGGTTTGTACCCATGAACACCATGGAGCCTTTCCTGGTTCAAAGCCCTGATCATCAGATAATCTTGTATGGCTTTTCTGAATATACAGCTAAATTCTTGATTTCTGTTAACTTGGAGGTGCTTTACAAATACTCTCTTTCATTTTGGAAGTTGTTGAGTGAAGTGATGAATTTTTTTTCCCACATGCCATGGGAAGGCAGTGGTCAGGATCTTGCACAGGTCAGCTCATACCCCTTTTTATTTGTGCTTCACTCAGGCCTCTCTCAGAAGCAGAAAATTCTTACCTTTGGGTCCTGCTGCTCCATCAGGGCTTCTTGCTCCAATAGTTTTTCCATGAGAGCTTGTTCCTGCTTTTTCCTCAGCTCATTTTCCTCTTCTGCTTGCTGGGGAAGTACCATTTTAAAATAAGATTGAAAATTGCACAAATGGAAATGATGACAGTTAAGGTTTCTTAAAGCCATTATTTGAATAATCCACAGTGGTTTGGGAATTAAAGTGAACTCGGTAAGATCCTTCATGATCACATTCCACTCTGATTCTGTGTTTACCGAATATGAGTCTTCAAACTAGCTGCTAAGCTACACCTCAATTAGAACTTTGCTGATGATTCTTAACCTGCACAAATAATTTCTGAGCCCCACCCCTCTAACCACTGTTTTCAATTATTTTCAAGTGAGACTGTATTACTTCCAGAATCTTCCCACCTAATAACAGCTTCTCTGAAAGCTTTTGCTGGAGAAAAACTCTTATTTCCCTGGGTTTAAAGTCCCTTAAGGGCCTTACCACAACAGGATTCTTGGTTTCTCCCTACATCTCTCCAAATGAGTCAGAATGACTGATCTGATAACTTGGAAAAAGAAAAAAGAATGGACCCTGTTCTCTTGGGTACTCTCTTGAAGTCTTCCCTGCCCAAGAGACTTTTGTTGATCTACAAACTGATGAAATGGTCTTCTGTCTGGTTTAGGAATTGAGTATAATTTACAAGTGTGAGTCTGCCAATAAGGCTTACATTTTGATGTCCATTTCTCTTTTAAAACAGTCTTATTTCATGACTATCTCATATATGTGTATGTGTGTGTTGCTTTTGTTATTGTTTCCTTTTGTCTGATATAAAGGAAAAATAGCAGTGTGTTAACTCAGTATCAGTTAACTTCCCATGATGCACCATGGAGAGCACCATGCTAGAACACTGTTCAATATATGTAGGACAAAGTATTCTGTAATATCACTATGCAGCCTTACCACAGCAGCTACAATGACTGCAAGGAATAAATAGTAAGGCAGAGGAGCACACTTATAGACAAGCTTGACCACACTATCCCAAAGATCACTGAGGGCAGCTTCTTTTTACCTCTGTTTCACAGATGTCCCAACTGAACCCTCAGGCTCTGAGACCAATCCCAGTATTTCCCAAGTTGTTTTATAATTTTTACATACAATTTCTCTTCTGACCTTAGGCTTGGAAATTTTCTTATGAAGAAATGCGATTATAGCACCTCACAGAAAGGTGACTGTAGTACCTCAAAAGAGCCTCTGGGGACATCTCTGCAGCTCATTAAGCATGACTACCCCCCTGCCACCCCCAGAGAACTACAGAGTACCAGTTAACAGCAGCTGGAAGGCAATGGCTTCCTCAGCATACCATCCCTGTGCATTCTCCCGCTAAGGAAACTTTCCTTATGCTCTTAGCTTATGACAGGACTCCACGATTAAAGGAGGTAACTATTAACCCCTGCACACATGTAGCCAATCGGCAGCTTGGTCTTCATATGGGGTACCTGGCAAGTGGGGGGGAGGGCTTTTTCTAACATAGACTCTATTGCCTGCTTTTGGATCACTTCCCTCTGGCAAGACTGCCTTGCCGGGCCTCAAGGGATGAATATATGCTCAATCCTAGTGTGAACTGATGTGCTGGGGAGGGCTGATTCACGGGAAGGACTCCCCTTTTCTGGGGGGAAAGGGAGAGAGAAAGGGGAGGATTGGAAGGTGAGGTGGGAGGGTGCACCCTTGGGAGATAAAGTAAATAATTAATTTTAAAAAGAGGTAATTATTTTAATCTGAGTGATAGGTACAGGAATGAATCTCCAAAGCCATTGGCCTCTACTCGTTTTACAAAAATTCTTTCCTCATACTTCCATAGATTTTTTTTTCCAAAAGTTTTCATAAACTGCTCAAATCCTTTCTTTAAAATACTTTTCTTTCCTCAACCAATAAGACCAATGTTAAACAGAAATAAATCCAGGTAATAGTTTGCTCTCAATATTTGTAGATTCCTCATCCATGAGTTTAATCACATAAATTGAAAATCTTCAGAAACTTCATCTTTACTAAACAGTGACAATGATTGTCTCATTTCTTAAATTAATACAACTATTTGCATAATATTGACATATTGGATTGAAAGATAATGTATCCCATAGGCTCATATTTTTCAATATTTAGTCCCTGGTTGCAGGAACTGTTTGAGAAGTGTCTTAGTCACTTTTCTGTTGCCATGAAGAGACACCATGTCCAAGGCAACTCTTGGAAAAACCATTTAATTGGAGGCTTGCTTACAGTTTCAGAGGCTTACTCCAGTTTCCTCAAGGAGAGGAGCATGGTGGCACACAAGCATCATAGAACTATGTGAGTGAGGCGTTTACATATTGAAATGTAAAGAGAGAGACTAGGCCTCCCAAGGGCTTTTGAAACCTCAGAGCCCATTCCCAGTGACCTCCTCCAACAGGGCCCCACCTCTTAATCCTTACCTAACAGCTCATCAACTGGTGACCAACCGCGCAAATACATGAGCCTACTGGGGCCAACTGTATTCAAACCAACACAGGAAGGATTAGGAGATGTGGCCTTTTTGCAGGAGGTGTCACTGGACTTTAATGTTTCTAAAGACCATTCCCAGTGTGCTCTCTGCCTCCTGATTTGTGTATCCAGATATGAGCTTTCAGCTTTTGCTCCAGCCCCCTGTAACCATGCCTTCTGGCCACCATTATAAACTCTAGGACAGTAGCCCAATTAAGCTCTTACTTTGTAAGCTGCCCATGGCGTTTTATCACAGCAATAAAAAAGAAACTAATACAGCTGGTGTATGAGTTAAAATGAATCTAGAGATTTAAAATGTACAGGAGGATACGCACAAGTTATATGCAAGTATACATAGTATCATTTTATGTGAAGGAACTAAATAGTCTCAGAATCAGGTATAACCAAGCTTCTGAAACCAAACCCCATAGGTACTAAGTCTAAGAAGTCTCACAGCTCAGTCAGGTCTATACACAGCACATAGGTTCTCTCTGATGTGAGTCACAGACCCATCAAACAATTCTATGTACCTGTGGATTTTCTATGCCCTACACCTTGCCCTTCAACCTTCAACAGTCAGTAGTAGGGCAGTGGTGGCAATGGAGCAGATATGCATTTGCATTGGCTTTTTTATTTAGTCCCACACATGGCTCCATGAGAAAAATGACCCATTATGGCCTGAGGGCCCTAAAAGCACTCAGCCTTAGCAGGGTCAGAGATTAATCACCTAGATCTTCTGCCCAAGGCCAGGGAGGCCTCTGCAGAGGAGCCAGGTCACAAACACTTCTTGGGGAGGGTATCTGTTGGGAAAATAGAGAAGGATATAGAGTGCTCTCATACTAACCTTGTAGGCTTTCACAAATCGAACAAAGACAGGGAAGAACACAGAGGGTGGTGTTGTCTTGGGGTTTTCGCCAAAATACTTCACCACATCATCAAAGGCATCCTGGAAAGAAGCAAATTTTTCTTGAATCTCATTAGATCCACTACTGAAACCAGATGCTCTGGGCCAGACAAGTAAAACAGAGAAGTTTGTTCTGATGCTTCTGTGCTGCCATGTAATTCTCTACATCACCTCTAATACCTTACTAAAGGTAATCAGAAAAGTACATACTGGGGCACAAAAACTCACCTCTAGGACCTTCTGCTTTTTCTTCCCCAATCCTATGTTACTGCATGCACATGCACACACACATACACACACACACAAATGAAGTATTTCTTCCACAAGCTTTCTAAAGCCCATGAGTTGGAAGCAACTCTGGAACTAAATCCTACGTCTCTGATTCATACTCCTTGCAATATCACCATGAAAAATGATATTCTCTTCTGTGGTCCATCACAACCTCAAACCCAGAAGCTATCATTGTCTGCCTCCAGTTCCTGAGCACTCCACCTCCTGTTCTGTAATGGTATACACTACACTCTGTTCTAGGTTTACTTATATACCAGAGATACTAGGGTGGTAGAGGAATATGAAGTCTAAGAGCTACAGAAACCTTAAACTCCAGGAGTATTGCTTTGGGAGCCCAGGTCTCGCGTGTGCCTCGCATGTTGCAGACCTGTGCTAGAAGGAATTTAGGAACAAAAGGGCTTTTACAGAATAGCACTTGGAAAAGGAACTTTCGAGGAAAACGAAACATTAGCTACATATGAAACTGACCCACTAACAGTAAAATAAATAAAGACAGACAGACAGATAGACGATGCGCCATTACTTTCCCAGCCCATAGCCTGTGCCCTGGGTGCCCTAAAAGAGAGTGCACTCTCGGGCTACCTGAGCAATCTTGGCATCATCCTGCAGTTTCTTCAGCTTGCCCTCATTGTGAAGGATGAACTCTTTCAGCAGGGTGTTGTGGTCATGCATAGTATATTCCCTCTTGGTTAAATCCATTCCCCTCTGCAGCTCCTTGACATCCAGCAGAACATTTTCAAGGGAGACTGATGGAGAGAGAGCGACACATCAGGGAACTTCTGCTGAGCGGAAGTCCAGCTGCTGATGCAATTTCTCAGTACTTTGTAAGGTTCACTTAGGGCCCTTACAACCAGCTCCCACCTTTAGTCAGAGATAGCCTTTAATATGGGTAATTTATGAAATTCCAAATTCCACTATCAAATACTACAACAAATTCTTCATACCCACTAATCCTACTGTTCATTAGCATACTTTGCCAATGAGGAAAAATGACCTAAAGTTCTATGGCCTGACCTGAGTCACACAGTTCAGATAGCAAGGGAATAGGAAAATAGTCTAGCCTCCACTTCTTGTGCTGAAGACCAAGGTTCCATCCCCATCCAGCTTATTGGTTAATTATAGGTTCAAATAGGCCCATGATTTTTTTTTTTTTTTCTTTCTTCTAATCCTTTCACTCACTCTGGATACTTTTGCGCTCCTGTAACTTTCCAGCAGAGGGCAGAATTTTACCTGCTGAACTTTGTTTGCATAGACTACTAAGACTCCAAAGCAACCTTGGACAGTTTTTTGTTAACCCTTTCTTGCTTCAAAGAATTTGGAATGAACCTTGCAATAGTGCCACCACCCAGAGCAAGCATACTTCTGAACTTTTATGAGCCACTTTCCCCAGAGAATTTGGTCTCAGCTTTGTTTTCCCTGTTCCTCAGCTTTGTACCTGGATGAGATACAAATCAGTATGTGTATTCTCCCCTTAACTAGACCTTCACAATTGTATTCCCAGTGCTTCCCCCTCCCCCCAGTTGTGACCCCATAATACTTCTGACAGTGCCAAGTACAGAGAAAGAACTCAAAACTGCTGATAAGCGAAGGAGCAGCCCTATCTGACTACATTATGGGCATATGTGTTAGTCATTTAGCCTAGGTACCAGATCAGCCAGTGAACGCATCAGCCATTTTATTTTTCTCACAGGCTTTTGTCAAAGAAAAAAATCTCCTCACCAATCTACCTGTGTTATTACTTACTAAGGTAGAATCTTATATTAGGAAAATCTGACAAATCTATGGGAGTGTAGCACACAGTATTCTTAGAATACAGAAACAATGGTCATTTCACCTGGCTAAAAGTCTGAGGTTACTTCTAGAATCTAATAATAGTTTATAATAAACACTAGTTGCTGATGGTTCAGTGTTGGGGGTTGGTCTGAATGTTTGTATTTTGATGCTAATTACTGGCCCTCAAGATCTGGTTAATGCTCTATCCTTGTTGTGTAAACCTGCCTAAGACATTCTTCCTGATCAGTTGATCAAAAGGCCTGTACCTGGGCAAAAGGTTTTCAGGCTTTGGGGACAGGAGGATCATGGGGAGGAGACAGTACAGAAAGGAGAAAGAAGCATGCCAGGATAGGTTAGCGTGGAGAAGGAACCATATGGGTCAGGAGAAAGACTTTGAGGATGGCGTGGATGGTGAAAACACTAAGATGAAAAATATAAGCAAGGATTTATAAAATTATGGATGGAAGGTAGCCCAGATAGGAATGGTTAAGGAGAAGGATGGCATTGGATAGGGATGGATGGACAAGTTATTGAAATAGCATAGGTAGAAATTATCTGCCCGGCCCAAGGTGTTATAAGGTAATTATAAAATCTAACAGGTGTCTGTGTCTTGTTGATTATGATAGCGGGCTAAATAATACCACCGTAACAATTATAGGGCTAATCATAAACTTATACAGCCTGATACCAATTTATTTTCAACAGATTAAGAAAATTACAATATGAAAATCACAGCCTATAACTAACTCCAGGATACATTCACATATCATTTTTTGTTAACCCAAATATTCTTGTGAAAAGACAGAACATTGGCTGTCATAAGACTTTAGAAGTCTTGGTTTCTGGTCCTGATTTTATCACTTTCCCCAGGTCATTTGGCCTTGCATAGGATAACCTCCACAAATGATCTTACCTAGAATATGGGATTGCTATTATCTTGTACAACCCAGCTGTTACAATTACATATAATTTAAATAAGAACATGTTAACTGTCAAAGCAAAGTAGCAACCAAGAAATACTGGTAGTTTACATACGATGCCTAGAAGTGCCACACCTGAGAAGGTGGAATTCCATGAAATCAAACAAAGGTATTTTTATTTCAGGAGTGACTGTTTCCCATCAGCATATCTCATCCAATAGCAAGAGTACAAAAGGGATGATGGATGAGCATAGAAGAGGCACATCACAAAGACCTGGACCCTTAGAGAGAAGACACTTACAGAAATTACCTACAGGCCTACAAACACCTGCTCACGAGCAGTGGCTCCTTCCCAGCACATTCCAGTCTGAGAGGACTGACACACAGATCCTGCCTTGTGCAGCGGATTCTGAAGAGTGCTTCAGCAGGGCATGACTCCCTCATAACTACGATATTAAACACCCCAAGGTAACACTGACAGCTGAAATTAAGTACCTGCAGCAGCTTTTTCCACATAATGAAGCTCATTATAAAATAGGGTAACTTGTTGATACTTTTCTTTTACGACATTTGATATATAGTGCAATAGTGTTTGCTTTCGGTCTGTTGACTTTGTATCTAAGAGCTGAAAACAGAAGGGGATATGGGTTAGGTGCAATAACAGAATTGCAGAAAGGGTTGGCGAAAACATTCTCAGAGGAGACTCGAGAGTCAATGTATTCTGGAGAGAACCAGCCCATTGGTGCTTAAACAGCTTGAGGATGTGCTAGATGCCAGGGGAGACTGAGGTAGGAATGCTTCAGGTCTTCATCTTTCTTCATCTACAAGAATTCTCCCTGTCCCCGCATCTGCTACCCACCTACCTCCCTTAGGTCAAATGTGAAAAGACTCCAGATGCCAGTGTTCTTCAACATAAGAACCAGACCAGAGATAGAAGCTGGAGCCAGCAGGGATGCTCAGTGGCTCCAGAGGCAGCAGGTTGTCCCTCATTCCCAGCTATGATGACCCCAAGGAGCAACAGCTGGCTCTATATGTCTGGTCATTTAGAATCTATGAGCTTTACCAACCTCAAACAGAAAATATTAATGAAAAAAAAAAACAAAAACAAAAACTATCTCTGTACTGACTTTTTTTGTGTGATTATTTGATTACATAATACCATGAAGCAATTACTTGAAAATAATAACATAGTACAAGGCATTACAAGTAAACTCGACATGATTTAAAAGTGAGGGGTCATGTTTAGGGTAAATCTGTACACTACACTACTTTATACAAAGGAATTGAGCATTTGAGATTTGGTATCCTTGAAGGTCCTGGGACAAATCTTCTAACAGATACCACTGAGAGGTGTCTGTGAGTGTGTGTGTTTTATGACACTATCAATTAACCATGCCTCCCTTGACTTGGAAGCCACAGTAAGCCTGCACAGCCTGGACATGGATGCATGGAAAATAACTTTGCAAAGGACTGCACTTTGCCCATGTAGAAAAACAGAAATTAGGTATATGTGCAATTATATTCTACTGTTTCCTAAACAAAAGTATCTACTTGTCTGAAAAGTCTTCCCAAGTACTTAAAAAAAATTAGTTCACTGTATTAACTGTTATCCTAGTCATTTTTCCATCATACTGGAATTTGAGATTATTGTATCAAATAATATGCAGTACTTATAATTCAGCTACTTGAGGAAAGATTTCTAGAAATGGAAATCTGGGTGAAGGCTGTAAGTCCTAGGTCCTTCATGTCAAGTAGTGTTTCAGAAAATTTATACCAACTCTCCTTTCTCCAACATCCCACCTCACCCATCCCAGAACAGACCCTCTCCTTCCACAGCTTAGTCTCTGCAGCTGTATGTTCTTCAAGGATCTCATGTTCCTTTTAGTTCACATACCAGATCTAAACTCTGAAGTTTAAAACCATAAACTGCTCCTCGTTTGCTGCTATTCATATAGTTTCCGAGGGCCAAGATGATCTGGAAAAGCAAGAGAGAAAAGGGTTCATCAGGACAGCCTTCCAGGTGCTGGAAGGCAGCTGGCAAGTCAGCTCTCCATGAACATAACGAGAAAACTGCACTTGCCTCCAGAATTTTCTTGAGCTTCTGAGATGACTTGATAGAGACAGATGCTGCTATAATTGCATGAAGTTGCTGAATTCCAGTCAGAAGGGAAAACAGGGGAAAGACTGTTAAAAACGGCAAACTGGAAACTAAGAGCTCACTATGCCTTAGGTAACCTTAGCATTGCATGTTCTTCTCAAAAACTCTTTACGGACAAGCAACATGGAAAATCGTTCCTCTGTAGCCAACCCCTAACCAGTAAGATCTCAGAGTAGGAGTTACCAGCCTCTTCTGACATAATTCAGTTCTGGGTGCAGCCATTCTGATCATACACAATTTATACTTTTAGGTCAACAGAGATGTCCAAGAATATAAAGGGTGGGAGATAGTGGAACGGCAGCAAAGTAACACTCTCTAGAATGTCTCAGACATGGTTTGAACACATATGCTACTGTAATCAATAACTAAGATTTTTTGAGACACATTACCAAGGACAAACTGACATTTTTTGTTTTGTTTTATGTTTATGACATTCCTAAGTCTCTGCCACTGACACAGGGAAGGTAGCTACTATTTATCTGTACATCGCCCCAATCTACTTAAGCAAAGTCCCAAAGAAAAAACACCCTCTGGTCAAATCAGTGCTCCTAGAGATCTCTTGTGGCTGTTCACTAAAGAGATGGAGCTATTTTTAGGAATCAGAGTCACATTTCCAGTCTTGCCAACAAGACTTGTTTTTAGAGTCCACTGTCCTTGTTTTATCTGAAATGCAGAGGATACTGACAGACATAGAAAACAAATATTTGGGGGGGGGGAGAGAACAGTCATATATCTTAGATTTGGATTCACAATGTAAAAATCTGGGCTGAAGTCCAAATGTAATCTAGAAAGTTCTGGAAGGACTCTTTGGACCCCATATTACACTGAGTGTAATTCAGAGAGGTATATAAAATAATAGCGGCTCTATCTTTCCATACCCCTCCCTGCCAGAGCTGGTCAACTCACAGGGGTCAGCATCTGAATGCTTTCTGCAAAGTTCCCAATGAAGGCCATGATGGTCATCTTCTGCATGAGCCGCTCAATCTTACTGAACTGCATCATGAAACGGTCCTCATCTGACAAGTTCTCTAAGGGTTTCCTCTCTCGCTCGTAGAGCCGAAGCACTTTCACCTCATTTTCAGTTGGCAAGAACCTCATCAAACATTCAACAAAGTCAACTGGTAGGGTCTTCAAGTCAAACCTGAAATAAGTGACAGGTCAGTCCAGTCCACTTCTTCCACCAAGTCAATAGGCCTTGGATTCTGGCAGCTATACTATGGAAGTCCCATCCAGGTGCTGAGGCCCAGTTACACAACTGATAACCCAAAGCATACTCAGTTTTTGGTGCTGTTATCTTAGGGCTCCAGGGTAACTATAGTCTTTAAAAATCAAGAGTAGGGAACAGCAGGCAGTATTAAGGCTGGAGCACAGGGCTAGCACTGCATGTCCAAAAACGGGGCTTTAGACATTGGGAAGTACTCCAATCAAAGAGATCAGCACCACACGGTTATAGAACAACTGGTGGGTTATGTTAAGATGTTTCTATCATTACTTTGCTCTGGAGACAAACTCAGTCAAATTCCTGTTCTATCCAGACAATTTGTATATAGGTACATACAATCTTTGCTCAGCAAAACAATGAAATTTCCCATATAGTAGTATGGCAAACAAGGTAGACGAGATTAAAAACCAGACTGACGCCATGTTTCAATGTTAGAAATCAAAAAGGATTGCAAAAGACTATCAGATTATGACCCTCGCCGAAGACATAAAATAAGAGCAAGTGATCTCCTAGGGTTAGGTAAGATCAAATACTGTAAAATGTCAAATTATGAAAAATAGTTTCCTAAAACAGCAATAACGCTTATCACTTGACTACAAGAAGAGTGGGAAGATTTTTCTGATAGATAAACAAAACCATTACCTTCAGTGCAATTTATAAATTAAGAAACAAAAAAAAAAAACTTGTTTAAAATGACCAAAAAGTACTAAGAGCAATAGAATTCATATTTCTCTTGTAATGAATTAAAACATGCACCTGTATCATATTTGCAAGTGGTATTGCCCTGTATCCAAAAGGTGCCATCAAATTAGGATTCAGCAAATCTGGATACAATCCAAATCCTGAAGAGAAAGCTGTCCTCTTTCCCTTTCCTTAAGCTCTACCCCAGCCAGCTCTTTTATGGTAGCACTGCCATAGGCTTATAGACAAGAACAGAGGAAGACAATAAGTGCTGTCCCTATCCAGATGTTCTCATTCGGAGCTGACAAACAGCAGGGGTGGATGTGGCACTTCCCAGGGGACCTTCTGGTGCAATGCTTGGTGTGATCATATTAATCTCAGGCGGTAGCACACAAGAAATAAGGGGAGCTCTCAAGTGTGAGTCCCAAGAGTTCCTCCATCTTTGCACTGAGATCTTGCCCCCTATTTCTGCTCTCTGCTGATTTGTAACCTATTTCCTTCATTAGGCTGAGCTTCCTAAAATCCACTTTCCCAGGGTGCCATAAACTTACACATGAATAGCTTTACATATCTCGTCAGCAGACTTTCCAGCTTTCCTTAATGTTATGGCAAGATTTTTGGCTCTATTTGCTTCTAATAATGTCACTTTACTTGACCCCTTCTGTGTTATTTTCTGCTTGCTTGAAGAAAGATCAATGGCAGGACCTTGGGCTTTTGTTTTGAATATTTCCTCAAATTCGTCCACATTTAAATCCTAGAGAGGACAAGGAGGACATTGGCAAATTGGGTCATACATTAAAATTAAGTCATTCTCGGTTAGAAAAAAAAACTCATCATTTAGACATTCTCTGAAGCAAAGATCCATTCTGCTGAGTGCTTATTCTGCATGGCTTGCTGTACTTTTCCTGTTTTTTTTGTTTTGTTTTGTTAGAATGCTCCTACCTCATGGCCAGAAGTGAATGTCCAGAGAATTACTGACTCTAACAATCCAATTCAATTGCTTTTGAGAATTGGTTTACACAGATATCTGTCACAGGCTAAATCCATGAAACCAGATAATCACTACAGTCACTGAGTCCTTAACCAGCATAGTTCAATAAAGACTGTCTATGTTCATATTAATTAAAGGACAGGGTTGTATCAGACATATATTTTGTGGCAAACACTAAGAATATGCAAAACCATTATTTTAACTTAACTTGTTAGACATAGTTTTGGAAACCTCTTATAGAATAATATACAATTTAATTTTTGGATAGTGCAAAGCCATTTCTTCTTTGTATTAGAATACAGAAACATTAGATCTCTGTCAGTGATGCTTACAGGCAAGCAGGAGAGCTTCTGTCACTCTACAGTAGAACATGTAGCTCTAGTTTATAAGCAAAGAGAAAGATACCTCTAGGATCCGCTCATCATCGATTTCATTGAAGACTGTGCCATTGATCTGATTTGGCTTCAGAGCAACCCAGTTAAACACTGGCATTCTGAACTTCGTCTTGATTGGTTTCTTAATTTTCACAGCTGAAGATGTCAGAGATAATGAAATTAAGACCTGTCTAGAATCTTATAACCTTCAGGAACAATCAGACAACAGTCCTTGCAGATGACACTTTAACACTGGAGGAAGATGGCAAGAGGCACCCGGGTGATGCTAAATATAGAGGGCACCTGGTCTTGGCCAGAGCCATTCAAGGTCCCCATTTGGTTCCCTGACACTAAACTGTTATAAAACCTGTCTAGGGGTTAGGAATTGAGTTTACTGAGGCCATTAGACTACTGCTTTCTAGTTATAGTATTAGATAATGTGATTAGATAGCAGAGGAAAAATACTACCCTAAATTTTGATGCCTTCAACTCGTGTTCCTAAGACATATATTTACAAGTAAGCTTTAAAGGGTGGTCAGAGACTGCAGAGGACTGCCTAACCCACCAGGAATAGCAAATAAAGAATGATGCTCTTCAGCCAGGAAAATGCATTCCTGTGGGTGACTGTGATAATAAGATCACAATGGCTGCTAAGTCATTTCCAAATACACGAAGGACCATCAGTGACCTATATCTAAGAACAGTGAAGAAGACAGAAGGGGTACGCAGAAATAGTGCTCCTTGAGAATGCCAAAGTCCCTTCTCTCCTTTTCAAAGGAGTCAGCTGTTGTTATCTAGACATTGTCAGTGAACTTGTTAAATGTACTGAAATAGAGAGGATGGGATCTAATATTTATGGGCTAAGGGGAATGCAAACACCTCTCATTTTGAGAACACAACCATAAAAGATAAACCGTTTACAACTCTGTATCTTATTCTACGTCATAAACAAGGCTTTCCAAACCACTTATATATATATATATATCCCTATATCTGTCCAGGGCCCCACCTGTCCACAGTAAGCTTCAATAGTCACCATTATTAGCAGGTAAGGGGAAAGAAAGTTAATGCTCAGGACAGAACAAAACAAAGACAGCCACCTGAGCTTTTATTTGGCAGGCTACCTGCCTCCATTGATGTTTACTGAAAAGGGAGGCAGCCGGTGCCTCTCATTCCTCCAGAGTTACAAAGGCCACAGAATGAGAAGGAATGTCATCAGATAAATCCACACAGAAGCATGCAGCAACACAGAGACACAGCTCTTGCCGAAGTGGGCTTTTCTATGCGGAACCCTCATCCCCATTATCAGCAGGGTTAGATTCCTGGTCACGCTGACTTTTTGCCTACCCTGCCCAGGAGAACCAATGTCCGATAGAGACAAAGGCTTTCTCTAATAGGGCCCTTCATCCGCAAAGGTGGTAGTACGGAGATGATGGGGGAAGTATCTCTTCAACCCCTAAGAAAATTTTTCCTGACTTCAGCTAGGCACAGAGAATAGGAGCTAACAGGGCCTACGGGTTTTGATGGTACACACTGTGACCCCAGGATTCAAACTATAGAAAGTGGCTTTAATGGGTGGTTGTTCCACACAATAGTGCCGCAGACAGTGGGAGGGTCCTGGAAAGGTACAGCCAACAGTCTTCCCTCATTCTCCTTACTTCCTTAGACTACAGTCCTCTCAGAGTGAAAAGGTTAGAGCTGACTATGAAAGCTGAATGCTAAGAAACATTCTTTCTCTCAAAGGGAAGGACTGGAACATGGCCTGTGAATCTAGGCCCTGCCTAAATGAGGACCTAGAGATTCAGCTGAAACACGTGGGCAAACCTGGAGTCACAGTTAGCCAACACCCAGACTACCTGGAGACACAATGTCAAATGCAATGGCTCAAAGTAGGATGGAGAGTGGAGAGATGCCAAGGCACGGGTGACCAACAGAACACACAGCAAATACTCAACACGCCTGGTGAGGAGCAACCTACAGAAAAGCTTGATTGGCCCATCTTTTGTGGAAGCAGAAAGAACAGAAAATACAAAATATATATATATTAGAAACAGTTATAATCAAGTGGCCCAGCAGTTCACACACTCTTAGCATTGAATTTCATGCTTTGTGGACACATTCAGCAGCACAAAGCCAAAAAGTCATTCCCCTGCCTTTAAAGACTCACTTTGTGTTTTTGTTTATGTTTCTGTATTTCTCCCCCTCTTTGGGAGAAAGAGAAAACAAAACAATATATTTCACTGTATAGGCCCCAAGCAGCCACAGTGAACTGCACTAGCTATTGCATAGACTGTAAACACGCTCTTAATAACATAGAATGAGCCACCGTCAGACGCTGAGAGGATTCAAGCATATCTTCTCAAAGCAAAGCAAAGGCCACCACCAGCAGCACGGGCAGCCTCCCGCAGGAGAGGGAGTCGGGGTATTCCACTAGACCTGAAGTTGTGCGTGTTACACACATCACCTGAAGATGTGAGCAAATATAATTCACAGTACTAAGATTTTCTTTATAAAATCCAAAGAATTTTCTCAACTAGAGATATACTAGGGGGTCTTCCTCCTGACTCCTGGCTCAGACCACTCCTGCCCATTGAAGAGACAGATACCCTGATACTCTGCCACTGTGAACATATGGGCACAGGGATTACCAGAGGTACTGGTACTCAGTACTCAGCTCTATCTCTTACTTCTACTGAGACAACCTAATTCAATCAGGTCTCTGGATTCTAGAGAGAGAAAATTATTGAACATATAGGAGAATATTTTACAAAATCAGCTTCAGTTACTATGCACTGAATGCCAAATTAAGGATGAATAATAGGGAGATTAGAGGCCCTGCAGAAAATGCCTAATCCCACATTGATAAGCACTTAAAAGGACTTTGTAATCATATAAAAGAAGATATATCTTGTAATCATTATCAGACATTTATAATTTTCTTTTATGTGCATAGGTGTGAGGGTGTCAGCTCCCCTGGAGCTGGAGTCACAGACAGTTGTGAGCTGCCATGTGGGTCCGGGAAATTGAAACCTGGTCCTCTGGAAGAGCAGCCAGCGCTCTCAGCCACTAGGCCATCTTTCTAGCCATTATCAGACATTTAATGAGATAAAGGGGGCTTCTTCATTCCCACTTGCAGCACTCTACTTTGCTGAAGAACAATGGAGGCTTGTACTTGAGAGGATCCTGAGGGCAGCGGTTATCAGCTGAGCACAGAGCTCCACACCATAAATTTAAAATACACCAGAGTCAATAACTTTTTTAAAAAGTAGCTGCAAAGGCTTAACACAAAACAAAACAAAACAGAGGACATGGCCCTTCAGGAGAAAGCCACTCTGGACTTGCTGCCTCAGTCTGCACCTCATTTCCCTGGCATGGTGTCTTAGTTCTGCTTAGCTCATGTGAATGCAAGCGGATGCTGAACCACAGGTTAGCTTTAGCAATGAAGAAAGAAGCAGCTCCAGGTGAGGCATGGTGGACACATCTCACAGAGAAGACTCATCCCGGGGCTACAGGGAAAGCTTAATCAGTGGCCCAGGTGCACAGGACAACAATGGCATCCACATTCAGTCACCAAGAACAGCCTGGCAACAGAACAGATACCCAGAGACGGTATGACGTTTGTTATTTACATCCATATTCCAACAGTCCATGGTGACTCTCCTCCACCTTTCCTCTTCGGAAGCAATAAAAGCTCTAGAAGAAAGTAGTAAACATGGAAGATCTTGAAGGGTAGGAATAAGCCACGAATTACCATGAAATTGAAAAGGTATCTTAGTACCCTTGATAACTCTACAGAGGTCAGAGCTGCAGAAGAATCACAGATCAGAGGAAGGCAAATCTGCTTTAAGAAACATTCAGATGGTTGAAAGTGTTTTAGTTGCCTGAAGGAATTATCTCTGAGGAAGGTGAGGGGAGCAGATAAAGCTGCTGACAAAACCCTTAGAGGGATTGAGAAGAAGAAATCTTTTGGCAAAGACTGTCCTTTAGACTTGAATACATCAGAGAACACCATGAAACTAGAGCAGTGGTTCTCAATCCTCCTAACACTGTGATTCTTTAATAGAGCACCTCACATTTTGGTGACTTGCCCCCGGGCATAACATTATTTCATTGCTACCTCACAACTCTAATTTGTTAGTTATGAATCATAATGTAAATATCTAATATATAGGGTATCTGATATGTGACCCCTGTGAAATGGTTGTACGACCCCCAATGAGGTCGTGGCCCATAGCCTGAGAACTGCTGAACTAGAGGCTAGTTGGGTATCAGCCCACAGTAACTGAGAGGGTTCAAGAATGGGTGGAAGTGTATCGCAGGGACAGGGCCACCTCAGAGCAAAGCTACCCAGTGTCACAGGAACAGCCGCTTGACAGCAGAGCTATCCAGTGTCGCAGGGCCAGCTACCTTAGACCACGGCTACCCAGTAGCCCAGAGGAGAACTTCGGAGCATTGCTAGTATATTGGTTTGCTTTTTTTTTTTTTTGTCAACTTGACAAAGAAGGAGCATCAGTTGAGAAAATGCCTCCGTTAGGTTGACCTGTAGGCAAGCTGTGGGGCATTTTCCTGATGACCGATTGATATAAGAGGGTCCAGCCCACTGTGAGCTGTGCCACCCCTAGGATCTTGAATGAAAAAGCAGGCTGAAGGAGATATGAGGAGCAGGCCAGTAAGCAGCATTTCTCCATGCGTTCTGCATCAGTTCCTGCCTCCAGCTTCCTGCCTTGTATCCTGCCCTACTTTCTCTGCACGATAAACTGTAAGCTACAATAAACTCCCCTGGGTATGCTGTTTATCACAGCAGTAACCTAAAGCAAACTAAGACAGTTACACAAAATCACTAGGATGGCGTCCCAAAAGCAGAGCTGCCTGGCATCACGGGGCGGCAACCTCACGCGACAGAACATGACCACCATCTCAGAGGGGGATGACACAGTGAGCATCACAAGGAGAGCCACCTCCACGCGGGGCTACCCACCGCGACAGTGTCACAGGATGGCAAGGTCAAAGCAGTCGTTCAGTATCACGGGACAGCCGGCTCAGAGCAGAGGTCCCGGAGCACAGGATGGCAGCCTCGGCAGTGCTGCCCACAATCCCAGGGACAGAACCACCCCAGATCACCTCAGAACAACCCCAAACTCGCAGCGACACTCTCACTGGAGTGGCTCAGTATTAAAGAGTACAACTTCATTTCTGAGAGGCAAAAATAGTAACTTATTTCAAGGCTCTGGAGCAACTCTCTTCCTCTCCCTCACCGGCACACCCTTATCTGCTGGTGAGCAGGGGGACATGAATTATTTGGAAGCTTTTCAAATCATAAAGAAACTGCTGTTGTTCCCCTTGAGGCTTGAAACAACTCTGGCAAATTCTGACACCTACAGATGCATGTTCTCCTCTGTAGATGACACTTCCAGTAGCTTAAAAGAATAACTCTCAGTATTAGCACCTAATCCAGAGCTTGTGTCATGGTAGGTAAAGATAGTGGAAGGCTGAGTGACAAGGTCAGAACTGCTAGGAAGAGTGTGTGACAAATGCTCTCTGGAGAACAGCAGCTCCCGTGTAGGACAACTTCCCCTTCACTGGCTACATGAGCAGGAGTGGCCTTCTAAGGGATATGTATGGATGAGGAAGACCTAACTGATGAAAGAGCAGCTTTAGTTCTCCAGAGAGAAAGAAATGGGGACTTAGCACACAAGTACCTCAGTTTTCACTCTGTGATCTCACCTGCTAATCCTGAGTTGAAAACTACTGTGGGTGAAGAAGTTCCAGGCAGTGGGGGTGCAGAGGGAGGTGGGGGTGGTGGTAGAGGAGGAGCTGGCACAGTCTCAGCTGCAGGACCTGGGAGTGGGGGTGGGGGAGGGGGAGGGGGAGGGGGCGGAGGTGGTGGGGGAGGAGGCGGCGACACAGGTGGTGATGCTGGTCCGTTTTGCGCTGGAGAAAAGAATAAAATGTGATGAGCGCATAAAGCATGAGAGAACTGGGCTTGGCCAGGGGCTCCTCAGGTAATGCCAGTTAGATCCTGGGAACCCACATGACAGTGTGACAAGTGCTGACCCTACAAAGGTGGCCTCTGGTCTCTACAAGCGTATTGTGGGATACACTCACATACACACATCACTCATACGTAACAATCACAAGCAAATGAAATTTTAAAAGAAATTCTTAAAAAAAAAAGCACGTGAAAATGAAACACTTAAAGTGGAAACATCTCCCTACTGACAAATGGGGAAATATTATAAAATCAGTGACATGACGGTTAACAACCTTGATCTCCAACTTTGTTGTGACTTATCGAATCTCCATTTTGTGTGTGAGTGTGCGCACAGGAGTGTGGTGCCTGCAGATGGCAGAGGCACAGACAGGTTCTCTGGAGCTGCAGTTAAGGTAGCTATGAGCCACTTTATGTGGGTTCTGGGAGGCAAACTCGGGCTGTCTGGAAGAGCAGTACAAGCTCCTCACCACTAGGCCATTTCTCCAGCTCCTCAAAATGTAATCTTTCTTAAGAGGAGGAGAGGGACATAAGAAGGTAAATATCTATCCCCCACCAGGACATCTTACCTGCTTCAGGCATGTCTGATGACGGAGGTAGTGGTGGGGGAAGAGGGAGTGAGGGTCCTGAGGAGGTGGCCCCTGTAATTGGTCCCGCATAGCTACCCACTGCTAGTTCTGACCCCACAGGCAATGCTCCAGAGGCCACAACTGGCAGTATGGCAATGTCCCCATCCCCTTTCTTCTGAATTTTAATGGTCCCTTGTTTCTCCAGTTCATGAATCTTTTTTTCCAGGGTAGACTGTCTTTGAATGGCTTCTTCCTTTTCTTTGACGATCTTCCTCAATGTGTGAACTTGGGTGTTTGCATCTTTGTAGATTTCCTGCAAAAGAGGTCATGGTCAGGACTTTGACCTCATAGGACATTCCCAGGTAAACCTTCTGGATAAGCCAACTGAGGGAAACAAGTGGAGGGAGAACACACATTCTGGCATTCGGAAAACTGTGGAATTCAGTCAGAACATATGGAACGAGTCCCGGTAATTATCAACTGAACTAACAATGCATGCAATGTATTCTAACTTCTTGTTAATGAAGTCCTTTCCACTTAGCTAGTGGAGTTAACTCCACTCTTCCTGGAGGCAAAGAGAACAGAGCAGTGATGACTTTATCCTGAAACAGGATTTGAAATATCTTACAGGTGTCCTGGTGGTTCAGCATGCTTTCTGTCACTAATTATAAATATCACTAGATACACAGTGACTAATAAGAGACAAAAGGGGCCTAAATCTCACTTTGATAGAAATCAGACTAGGTGGGGGCTGGAGAGGTGGCTCAGAGGTTAAAAGCACTGTCTGCTCTTTCAGAGGTCCTGAGTTCAATTCCCAGCAACCACATGGTGGCTCACAACTACAACTATCTTTATCCTCTAATGCCCTCTTCTGGGATGCAGCTGTCCAAACAGATAGAACATGCATATACATAAAATAGATAAATAAATAAAATCTTAAAAAGAAGGAAAAGAAAGAAATCAGACTAGGATTAAAACCCCTACAAAAGGTGAGTGTGGTGGCTCACACCTTTGATCCCAGCACTGTGGAGGCAGAGGCAGGCCATCTCTGTGAGTTTTGAAGCCTACCTGGTGTGTGCAGTGATTTTCAGGCCAAACAGGGCTATATAATGAGACCCTGTCCCAAGAAGATATACAATAAATGAGCAAGCAGACAATCTCTGCAAAGCCAGAAGCGATCTATTTATGAGTGACAAGGGGCTGGCTGCGTAGCTGGATTTCTCCGGCCCTTATAAAGCTCCTTGACTGAGTTTAGGGCAGCAACTGCTAAACATTTTCCTTTTGGTGATACATTGAATGAAACAACCCAAAGCGTCCCACCTGTCTTTCTCAGAGTTCCTAATACAAAACAAAGTTAAAAATCAATCCAAAGGCTGTCCTGGCTTCTTCTATTGAGAGTCTATGGAGATTCTGGTGCGGGTGACTTTGTGGAGCTGAACTCATTGTCTGGGCCTTGCACATGTTATCTCTCACCACAGACCTCCAGGCAGGGGACATTGCTTACACCCTGTCTATCATTCATAACCTAAGTGTCTGAACTTGAATGGAGTCCACATGCTGCAAGAAACACATAGCACAGAGCTAACTGTCGGCTGTGTCAGAAATCGAACAGCACACACAGCCATGGCAACCATCACATAAATGTGCCCTCATGTTAACTGTGGTGTGAAGGCAGGCCATGTGCCTGAAAGCCCTCCAGGCATGTGGGTTTTATGTCCTGCACAGTTTCAAACACATGGACGGCTAGAACTCAATAAATGACTGACATATCAGGTAAAATGACAGTAAAGCAAAAATACAATTGCTAGAATTATCTGATCGTAAAATTCATCAGATTTGGGGTTTGGGTGAATACCGGGAGGTATAACCTTTAGTTTGTTTCTATAGCAACCACCAAATCTAGTAAAGCAAAGTAAAGAAATACAATAAAGCCCAATAAGTAATAAAAATGAGTAAGTGGCATGAATTAAATTCATGCTTTGTTTTTATTTACAACCACGTGGAGAATGCATACAATCAACTCAGCCTGCCCCAGATAGAAAAACGTTGCTGCTCCCAACATCTGTGATAAGGAAATACTGAAGGCGGGGTTTGATTGTGCACACATGTGCGTACATACTGTATGTGTACTTTTGAGTTTCACCTCTGAAATGGTTGCAATAAATATACTGCATGAATATATTCCTCTGCAATGAACACACTCTACACACTGGACCAGCCTACACATGGCAGGCACACTGAATACCCTGCCATGTCCATCTGGGTGGATGCTGCGGGGCACACTTACCCGGACAACATCCAGTTCCTTATTCCTCTGCATGAGTTGCTTTTCCAGTTCCACAATCTTGGACATGGCTTCATTCTCCGTGTCCTGCAGCTTTTCAGACAACTGTGAGATTGGGACAAGGAAACAATGTCACAGCACAGATCGTTCTGGCCAGGCTCTTGGCCTTCAGAATTATACATCCCAGACAAACAGGGACCCACCAGAGTCTTGCATATATAATACAAGTTATTTTCTGCAAACATGAATTCTTAAACTATCTTTATAAAGACGTATTTGTCTCTATCAGGAATTAATAATGTATATGTGGCCTCCATAAATCCATACATCCACCTGTCGGTGTTTGAACATACACAGCCATGTCTCACTCCATGTCCTGGAGCTGACAAGAGTAGAAAAAATTAAGGTGAGGGAAGAGTGGAGGCTACCTTCCCACCCTCAAGACGGGATCATTATGCCACAACTTCTGGAAAACGTTGATCCAGAAAACATGACTGTATCATTGTAGTCAGCTAAACACTCTGGCTTGCTTCAGCCCAAACTATCCAAATAATGGCAGTTATTTCTATAAAATCCAATATAGGAAGGCTACTCAGCACTGGTTGGGGAGTAAAGGGTGGTGGGAGGGATGAGGGGAAGAAGGGAGCCATGTACTGAGTAGTTACTCTTCACATGAAGTTCTATAATCAAACAACTTCGGATTTCCTATTGGACATAATAAGAGGCAAAGGCACCCATGGAAGCAAGTGGAAGAGTGGGTAAATTTGCAGGTTAAAAGTATAATTCCAAAGAGAGAGAGAAGGAAAAAGAAAATGAAAGAAAACAAATCTTTTAAGGGGAACAACTGAACCTGTCAATTCTCTCACTGAGCAGATGCCAACCAAGCCAAAGTAGAGCCTATGAAGGGGGTGGGTGGAGGGATTCAGCTGACAAACTTAACCAAGAGCCATGGGGAGACCCATTTCACAGTGATGGTAAAGGATAAAATGAATATACACACTACTCTAAAATAAATTGTGATGGGAAACAAAAGCATTCTTCAGAGAGATAAATAGTAGTTTTATGCAAATAGAGACAATTCACTTCACAATAAAGAAAAATTCCAACCAAATCATAATAAGAATTTTGCTTTCAAGAGCTCAGTGGTACAGTACTTTCCTCACTTGTTTGAGGTCCAAGGTTCATTTTGGACAAGGGCAAGAAGAGTTTAACCCTCACAATACTTGGTTTTTTGAGAAACACAGCTCTCCATTTATATTCTTTGATATGAAATCTGTTAGAATCTCTAAGCCTTAGGGTTAATATTAACTTGTTTGAGGATAACAAATTTCCTTTATGGAAAATCAGGACCCTGTCCCACTTTGCAGGTGGCATTATCCTAAGAACACTTGCTTCTTCAAAGAAGACCACAGTTGACAAAGCTTAGTGACTTCCAGGAGAGTGTCTACAGGGGAAATGAACCTGATCAGAATCTACGGCACTGCTGAGAAAGGAACACGGAGATTTGTGTCAGACAGTCCTATCCCTCAGGCTCTGATGGCACTTTGAGAAGGTGGGTCATCTTCAGAGATTCCTTCATCAGGCTAGATTCCCTCCTTTCACTTCCCTCTAACCCTTTCACTGCCAACCTTCCTACTCTTCTCTGGTGGCAACTAGGATTGCCGGTGCATGTGACTTGGGAGAAGAGAACAGGAAGGTAAGTGTAGACAAAGCAAGGGCTTCTCATGCAAGGGACACCTTCCTTCTTTAAAGAACCTCGAGCGCATTTGAGGACTCTCTGGTCCAGATTCCACTCATTCCTACACCCCAAATGCCTTCACTTCCTACCACAAAAGCTAGCCTTAGCTCATCTGGGGCCCCCAGTACGTTCCCCCTCTGAGATCCAGTACATGAGAGATGTTTTCTTCCAGTTCTTCCACCCGCTCCAAGGCTGCATTCTTGGTTTCTGCATCTTCCAACAGAGCTCCCACATCAAATACATTGTCCAGGTAAGCCTGAATCTGTACTTGCAGCTTGTCACTCTCTGTGTGTTTCAGCTTCTAAAAACACAAATTTCAGAGAAGAAGGGATTAGTGTATTTGTGGACAAAGAACATGATTGCCCAACCCTCTACACATTCTATTGCACGGTAGCCTGCCTCTCCCCACAAGAGTTTAACATATCGTCCTCCTGAAGAGAATTACAGCACATCCCTATGAAGAAGGTATGGGCATACTATTTCCTAGATACACACATACACAAATGTATACACACACACACACAGATATACTTCGCCTAGATCCTGCCTACTCTAGCCTAAAACATTTTTATATAAGTAAAATCAAAACTACAGAGACATTAAAGGAGGATTTGAAATAGAATTAGTACAAGCCCTGTGAAACTTAAGAGGCATCCAAGGAGAAGACTGAAGTGGATGGTTTCTCACCAGGATGATGACAGTGTCTAGGGGCAAAGCAGTTAGCTGGCAGCCACCAATCACACACATACGTGGCTTTGGGTTATTCTAGTACACATTCCTAGAACTCATCTTGCAGGATTACTCTCCTAAGCCAGTACCTCCAACAGGACTCCCCAAAGCATGACTCGGAAAGTATCCTCAGACTAAGGATGCGGAAGCAACCCAGCTAGCTATGCCTCAGGGGACACAAGAGGCTGAAGAAATCAGTGAATCTTCCCCATGGGAACCATATATTATGATGTTCTCTGGAGACTTATGAAGCCAGAATAATATCTAGACATAGATGATGTCAATAAGTTAATGCCCAAATCAACGATCACTGGCAAAGAAGGCTGCCTTTGTAAACAATAGAAAATGTATACATTAGATGCATGAAATATTGTTCGTATAATGATCTCTATCCATCGGAGTCCAGAACCAACAACACAGTTAAATTAGTACAGGGTTATGGTGGCGTATTCTTAAAAGAAATTTCAGATTACATAATTTCTTAAGGAAAAACATCTTTTCTCTTAGGTTTAGTTTGAAATTCTGCAGTATAATTATCTCAAGGAGAGTTCATCCCATCTTAGTTTAAAAGTCAAAAATGAAAAAGAGAAATAAGAATCTAGAGCTAGAAAACAGTAAACAACAGAGAAGCAGCTACATGGGACTTGCCCAAGATCCACAGTAAGTAATGGATGTACACCAATGTCATGCTGCTGAGACAACCTAAACCCAAAGAGAAACCTCATGAAACTGATCCTGCGACAGGAATGGGAACTCAAATTCCTGATTTTTTTAAATCAAATACTGCAACTTGTGGAGTACATGAGGAAAGAAGATAAACCTCAATTTCAAAGTATGCCAGGAGTGGGGAAGTGGTCAAAATATTCTGCCCTCTAATAAGGTAGGAACAAGGAGTGTAGTTCCCTGGATTCATGCCTAACAAACACGTGCAGCTGAAGTCTGGACACAGGCAAGGGAAGGCCTTCCATCATTTCCATATCAGGAAAGCCATGAAATTTAGGTCAGCAATCTCTGCTCTCCACCAGTGGTCTTCTAAATTCAACTGAACCATTCACATAGGAGGGGAAAACAAAAGCTTCCTGAGAGACAAGGAGGAGTGCAGCTAGTGCACGCAAAGGTAGCAGAGTACTTCTATGAGGACCATATATACTTTCTCTTTCTTTATTAAAGAACTCCTGGGAACTGGCTGGGCACTTCTGTGTGGCAGCAAGAAAAAGAAGCTAAACTCGGGGCTGGAGAGATGGCTCAGAGGTTAAGAGCACTGGCTGTTATTCCAAAGGTCCTGAGTTCAATCCCCAGCAACCACCTGGTGGCTCTCAACCATCTATGATGAGATCTGGTGCCCTCTTCTGGCCTGCAGGCACACATGCAGGCAGAATACTGTATAAATAATAAATTAATTAATTAAAAAAAAAAAGAAGCTAAACTCCTTTCTCCCAAGAAGTGAAAGCATGAAAGCATGTGTTCAACAGCAACAATTAAGCAGAATTAACAGTTTCAGGAGGAAGTCTCCAGGGTCCTTTCCTCATTACTTTTTTATGCTCTAAGCATTAACTCATTTTCTAACAGTCTTGGCTTGAAGTTGCCTGCTCAGATGGGGTCCCAAGAGTGTCCCAAAATAAAAAAATAGAAAATTAAAAAACCTATTCTCCAGTTGTGATGAAGGATGAAGTCAGACGTGACCCAGACAAGGGCTCAAAAGCAAAGGAAGGTTGTAACAATGCTCCCAGAGGTTGTCTGACTCAGTGCTAAAAGGCTGCAGGCAATAGAGCTACAGTCATTCCAGGAATTCTTTAAATAATCCAGCTTTGCTAGCAGACTCCTTCATTCAAATTGGTTCTCTTTACACCAGCATTGCAAACGTTGGACCACGTAACGCTTTAGGCATTCTTTAGTTACTATTTAAGTGAATCTCTGAGAACAGGCAATAAATCCATTCTTAAAAATCACACATACACACACACACACACACACACACACACACACACACACACACACACA